ATATGTCCTCCGGGGTGAAGCCCGGGTAACCAGCTAGTTTAATATATATTTAAATAATAATAACAGATTTGATAATATTAATTTATTACCTAATAAATGTAATTATAATTAATAATATATATTATATTAATAATTACAGTATAATTATAAATAATATAAACATATATTTATAATTTCTTTTATGTAGACATCATCTAAATTGCGATTTCAAATAATATCTCGTACCTGATCGATGGGGAAATCATAGGAGTTCCTCGACTAACAGGATATTCCACTGGCGGGTATAAATTAGCAACTTTCGGCTGTAAGCCACAGTTATACAGCCTTCCAATTCCTTGTAAAATTACGTCAATATTTTGTTCAGTGCGTCGAGTCAATACAACGTTTATTACTTCCGAACACAAGGATTCTTTCAGAACGTGCTGCAGAACGCTATCTGGCGCAATTTCGATGGTCACTGCGTTACTTGAAATTAGATGCGTTGTTTGTTCAAAGAGAACGGTATTTAATATACTATGTGTATGATAGTCCGCCGATGATAATTTTGATTCTGAGTTGAACCATTCGGTGCAAGGTATGGAAGTGCTGATCCATTTTGGACTCCGTTTCTTCGGCCGTGATATTACTTTGTTTAAATTAAGCAAAAGTTGAATTTTCACAGATGCGAGATAAGAAGTGTGATACGGTACATTGCAGTGTACCTCTTTCACGTGAATATTATTGATCTGATAATACAAAAGTACAAATTTAATATGTGCAAATGCGGCAAGTTCGATATTTTAAAAATCATTAAACGGAAGTTTTCCATTTGCTTATGAAATATGAGAGCTATTCAATCCTACCTGCAAGATTTTCATAAATTTTTGCACGGATTCTGTGGGTCCACTCACAACGCTGCTGTTCTCGCTATTGCGACATATTATTTCAATATCCACTGGACACATGTTTTTGAGACACTCGTAATCAAGACTGACAATTGCCATAGAGCTACGAATTATTTTTCCTTCGGCACACGCCAAACCAATAAAATATGCTGATAAAATAGTTTGTTCGATGGTGAGACATCCATCGGCGTACGCGCAACCAAGTTCACCAGCAGAATGGCTAATCATGTAATCCGGAATAATTCCTAATGATGTTAAGAGATCTACTAAACCGATCTAAAAATGTATACAAATAATTTTATAGCTGAATTACTTTGAAGAATTCATTTCTAATAAATCAATAAAGTGTGATGAAATAAATGTAGTTATGTAAGATGATAATTCCACTGTAGTAAGATAAAATGACATAGAAAGAATTTATATTGCTTCATCAATAAATATAGTATAATTGACATTATTTTATAGCTTTGAAGTATATTTTACCTGAATAGCAACAATGCCAACAAACGCGTGTAACGCGTCTTCGCACACTTTTTCATCTGTCTTTGTCAAAATATCCGCGACACCTATACCATATGGTTTTAAAGTAACGTCGCACACTCTTATCGCATTTGCAAAGACGTGAAATTTTAATAAATTTCGACCTGATTTCAATAAAAAAATATATCATTATTTAAATGCTACTGTAAATAAAGTATGGAACATTAAATACATATATACCCATTCCTGGCCATTGCGAGCCTAAAGCAGAAAATATAAACCAAACAGGTCTTTTCGTATTCTCGCAATTTTGAATTTCCCTTATTGAATCTTGTTGCAAAACATTCAGTATAGTGAATCCTCTCCATAAGTGACCATCTATGCTGTCTTCATAAACGTCGTGTATTAAACGGATATATTCTATATTTATCGGACAATTAGCGACCTATAATAAAAAAATTTTTAAAGCAAAAAGTATGATATAATGATTAATCACTAAAAAGATTTTGTTGAAATTGCTTTCAAAATGTCTACTAACATCGTTTAAGAATAACTTCACTGATTCTTCAGTGCTCCCAGATAATATTACAAGTGTTGGCAAGTCATTATTCGGTGTTCCATTGTTAACTTTTTGTTTGAGGTTCCACTTTAATAACATGTGAGCAATAGCTCCCCCGAAACCTAAAGAACTGATACCTATATAACCGTTTTTAAGTGGCATCGGTTCTTCGATGACACGAACAGTTCCATTTATTAAGGCATCTATATTTGGTGGTGGTGATGTATAATTAATATTTGGTGGAACGAAACCGGTTTCAAATGCTATTATTGCCTTTAAAAATCAATAACAATTATAAAATGTAAATATAAATTAATTTGTTAGATATTGACTCATATATTATTGATAAATAGGTAGTGATATGCTACACGTTTGGTCGAGCTGGATCTTTATAGCTTAATATTATTCTTGTGTGAATTATATACTTTTTTCGTTAATCTTGAAACACAGTTTTTCGTTGGAACCATAAGTTCAACATATTTAAATTGATTTAACTTATTGATGCTAATGCATATCAGCATCGTTTAAGTCACTGTAAAAAATTTTTAACTTAAAATAAACTTGAAATAAATTCACAAAAAATCACACAAATACAGCTCAACCAAAGATGGTACATCTTTATTTGTCAAAATTATTTATTGATCAAAATTTCACTCACCGTATATTATATGGAAGGGTAAAAGTCATAGTGGTGTAAGTCAAATTTTTAAAAATATTGACTTGTGTGCATAGATACAATTTATATATTGTATAGATTGCATCTATGCACACAAATCAATATTTTAAAGAAGTTTGACTTTTATATTTTAAAGAAGACTGACCACTATGGCTTTTACCCCTCCATATGTATCTCATTATGTTAATTCTAGAGATAACAGTGTAATAGAAGGTAATAGAATGTAATAGAAGGTTCTCGCGATTCTTTAACCTTTGTGCTCGAGTACGATAGAATGACTTGTCAAACAATTTTTACGTAAAATAAATCTTTCTGTGCGTGCGTGCGTGCGTGCGTTCGTGTGTATTGTGTAAAATAAACATAAATTTTAAAATAATAATTAAATGCGAAAATTACTTGTTTTTACCTTAGCGATCTGAGTAAAACCACTTGCAGCTTCAGCATGACCAAGATTAGATTTTACGGAGCTGATCATTAATGGAGTTTTTCTATTCTTACACAAAACGTTATAAATAGCATTGATTTCCAGAGGATCGCCGACTTTAGTACCGGGACCATGTGTTTCAATGTAATCCAAGCAAGATGTTGATATTCTACACTCATCGTAAAATTCCGTTAGCAAAGTACTTTGCATAAGCACCGATGGATGTACTATTCCTTCTTCCTTGTAACCATCGTTCATTGTTTTAATATGAGGACATATAGCATAAATCCTTTTTGCATTCTTTGCTTTTTGAAGGTACATCACTCCTATCGTTTCGCTACGTACATAACCGTTTGCAGCGATATCAAAAGGTCTGCAGCAACCGTTGGGTGACAAAACACCTAAATAATAAAAATATGGTATACATCTTTCACTATATACATGTATACATATGTGGATCGGTACAAAAGTAATGCCTCCTAATTTTTTTTTCTTTCGAATCTGGCGCCATAGAAAATTTTGCATTTTACTGAGTTGTTACTTGAAATTTCTAGTTATATTATGTTGAATAGTGTTGTGATCAGTTTATGTTTGTGTGTCACACGAATAGTTCAAACTGGTGTGTATTTTAAATACGTGTAACAGACAAGGTGATTAAATTTCTTACCGTGGAAAAAGTGAGTTCTATTGAAATCCATTTGTATTTCAGAAACGGTGTTATCATAAACATTTCTGAGACGCGAATGAATTTCAATGGCTGCGTGCAGCAGAAAGAGTAATTTAGCGAGCAATCAGTAATTTTTTTAAATGGTTAGACCTTGCCTTTAGTTTTTCCCTGGATCCAAGTGTAGAAACCAATCATAATAAAGAATCATTGAGCGCGCATTGAGCTGCTTTCTCCGCTGAACGCAGCCATTGGAATTCACTTCTTCCACGATAAGAAATTCAACCACCGCCCTTATTTGTTACGCGCATCTGAAACACACACCAGTTCAAACTGCTCGTGTGACACACTCACGTAAATGATTACAATACCACTCAACATAACTCGCAACTAGAGACTTCAAATAACAACTCATTGAAACGCAAAATTTTCTATGGCGCCAGATTCGAAAGAAAAATATTAGAAGGCATATTACTTTCGTACTGACCCTCGTATATACATACACGTATATAATATTTATATACACAGAAAAATTAAAAAATGACATATTTGACTTTGACAAAAATCTTATCACAAATGTTTTTACTAAAACTACACAGCCCGTTGAAATTTGTTTATTGTTCGTGAATAAGAAAATGTAATACTTTAATTTTTATGTTTAATATATTACAAGATTAATTCGTTTTAATAAAAGTACCAAGACGAGCGAACTGCAGGTTTACAATTAAACTGAGATCTAATTGTACAGCCCCAATTATCGCATCTTCGCATTCGCCCGACATAATATCATGATAACCAAGAGCCATGGCATAGAGACTAGTGCTACAAGCTGTATCGAGTGTATACGATGGTCCCTTCAGATCCAAATGGTACGAAATCATGTTTGCCATTGTAGATTTGCTACATCCAATAAGATTCAGACCATCCATCTAATTGCAGAAAGTTAACGATTACAAATTCTCGCACACAAATGATAAATTCAATAATCTCTTCTATTAAACTTATCAATTAATAATTTTTTCTACCTCAAGATCCTCATATAAAAATTTAGCTTGCGTTTCAGAATAGGATACCGCTATGATCACGGCAGTATTCTTTCCTCGCAATTGCTTCGGATTGATCCCCGCGTCGATAATTGCCTCATAAGAATGTTCCAGTATCATTCTCGTGTCAAGTCCGAGTGTGTGCGCTTGGTCGAAAGATAATCCGAAAAAATCCGCATCAAACTTGTTCAAATTATTAACTATTCCTCTACGGTTTGATACGTTTGGATATTCTAACAAAATGTATATAATTTCACGCAAAGGCGTTACACTCCTTATTCACTTTTTAATAAAATTTTAGTTTAAAATACATATCCTTAACATATAACCACTAATAATAATTATTGCAGAAGGGATATGGCATATCCTATATCCACCAATCAGGCATAAATGCAGAACTATCCTAGGCATATGAATTAATCACCTCTCTTCCATCGTCCATGATCACCTCTAATAAGATCTTTTTTATTAAATAGATTTTCTCGTAATTGATTCATATTATCTGAATCCGGAAATCTACCAGCAATACCAGAAATAACGATCTCCTCGCCAGAGTCAATACCGTTCCAGGAACTACATGCTTCTGTGCTATTCATGATTTCGATTATTTTCTTCGGATAATCTAGAAAAGTGCTATGTGTATTTTACATACTTATTTCTTTTTTACGTATTATACCTGTCTTGATGTTCATAGTATCACTATGATATCAATTAAGGTTGGCGAAGAAATGAGAAATTTGTATAAAATTTACCTTTTTTAAAATAAGGCAAAGAATAAGCCAAGTGTACGTGCTCCATACAAAATCTTTATTTTAAACAGTTTTGATCTAATTTGATCTTATAATTCTATGTATATTTTTTACTACAAAAAACAATGATATCAGAAGACGCTAAGTAAATATGATAAATTAGTAACATTTGATTTTCTTAATCATGTTTTTTTTTATTATACTAGACACTACAGACGCGCGCTACGCGCGCGCTATTTATCTTTAATATTTCACTATTACTATTACACTATTAACCCTATTATACACAACTATCAAAATATGCCATGACAGTCGCTCATGAAGTAAGCGCAACGAGAGAACCAATCGGCATCGCGGAAAAACGACAACAATACCTATGACATGCCCTTTTTAGAAGAGGAGGATGAAGAGGACTTGTTGCGTACATGTTCTGTTTTTTTAATACTATTAATTATTAGATTTACACACAAATATACTTGGCGTACTCTTCTTATGTTACTGGTGTACAGCAACATAGCATGTGCTACAAACATATTTGTGGCATAAAAAAGACACGCAGAGCGTTTTTTGTATGTGAATATAAATTGTAGAATAAAAAAATAGTACAGGTACACAATAAGTATAATAAAAAAAAAACTTTGATTAAGAAAATCAAATATTACTAATTTATCATATTTGTTTGGCGCAAACCTGCAATATTATTATTTTTGTAGTAAAAAATACGAACGGTATTATAAGCTCAAATTGGATCAAAATTTCTTTCAATAAAAATTTTGTATGGAGTACACTTGGCACATTTTTTTACTTTTTTTTTTAAAAAAGATAAGTTTTGTACGAATATCACTCTCTTGTCACAAGTACATGTAGAAATCGTAAAAATATAAAATCTTTGATATCAAGAGACACGGAAGTGTCTCGCGCCAAGTATACGCGAAGCGAGACCGCACCGTGGATCATTTATACGCGACGCGACGAGTTGCGAGTACCCGAGATTTTGAGATCTCGATAACCAGTAAACGGATCAAGTTCTAACTAGGCTTAATGGATAGCTTGGACCAAATTTATATAATAAAAGTGTCTTTATTTTTCCGTTACGTGCCCTACAAGCGGAGATATTGCGATGCAAAGTCCAAATGTGGAAATTTTTATTTAAGAAACGTCCACGTCGTGGTCGTCGGACAAAAATGGCGGCTGGTGTGTCACTTTCCCACTTTTGACACGAGAGGGCAGTGATGTCCGTGCAGACCATAGGGATCCTCTAGTGAGAGATAGGACACCGAGGGTGCAGGATGCGGATCGGTCGTCCGCAATTAATGGGATATTTCCGCTTTGAGTATATTTTAGTAAAGATAGTGTATAGTATATGTCAATTTATAACATATGACCACAGTATAACTCATACTGTGTTATAACTGATAAAGTGAGCAAGAGAAAAAATAAAAGTGTAACCATTGTACTTAATAAATCCAATTTTATTAAAATTGAATGTGATTTTATATTATCATTTAATACTGAAATGAGAAATATATAGAGAATACATAACCTCAACGATAAATAATCAAATTAACTAATATTGATAAATATAAGCTCAGACTATCGCGTCAACACATTTTTAGTATAAAAATGTTTTTCAAAATTGTTCTGTTTTTTTCATTTATCAAGAGACACGATAGTGTCTCACGCCAAGTACACGCAAAGCGAGATGCACCGTGACTCTTTTACGCGACGCGACGGGTTGTAAGTACCAGAGATTTTGAAATCTCGATAATGACTGAACGGATCGACTTCTGCGTAGGCTCAATCGATAGCTTGGGGTCAATTTACATAATAAGAGTTTTTATTTTTTTTCTACGTGCCCTACGAACGGAGATATTACGATGCAAAGTCAAAAATGTAAATATTTTCTATTAAGATACGTTGTTATTATCGTCGTCGCCGTGTCACTTTAACTTTTTTGACACTATGCGGCGCTAATATCGCTTCTAATAATAAACCGTGCGCGCGTTATTATCGATCCAGCAGGTAAATCAGATCGTATGACTTATGACTCATCGGCAGAAAGATATCAAGAGACACGGTAGTGTTTCACGTCAAGTATACGCGAAGCGAGACCGTATATCTTTACGCGGTTGCGAGTATATTATTAACCCAGCGAGTAAATTTATTCGTGCATATATCGATATATCGATGTGCGTTCAGCGCGCTTTCAGTCAGTTATAACCTAGAAATAGTAACGATTGTGATCGTCGCCTCGTGATAGATAGTGAAATATATATTGACGGCAGGGAGCTGATATCGAGGAGATCAAGAAGCATGTTCACACGAGGCATTTCTGCCGCGTGGTTGCCGAGCGATTGCTGCCGTGCGTTAACGTTTGCACGAACCGCGCGCTGTCGCGAGGCAAGGTGCGACAACGCGCGCATCCGCGCGTACGCGAAACGGCGTACGCACGACGGCGAGTGTCCTATGGGTCTAAAATGCTGCCAAAGCGTATCGTAGACGCTCGTCGTCACGCGTACGCCGTTTCGCGTACGCATGTATGCGCGCGTTGTCGCACCTCGCTTCGCGACAGTGGTTCCGCGCGTCAATACCGCCTCGTGTAAAGACTCTAATGGCTCGTCTACAATAGCCGCAACAGTATGCAGTAAGACGTAAGCTGTTGACTAATGGGATTTTTACAATTCAAGAATAATCGACTGTGGTTGGTCAATAGCTTACTGCTCACGTCTTATTGCATACTGTTACGGTGATTGTAGACGAGCCGTAAAAAAGAAGGTGTATCCAAAATCGCACACGTACGTATATGCTGTCTTGTAAAAGTTGCTAAAGTTAAAGAGAACGAAAAAGTGATCTGTATCTATGCACGTTTGACAGGCACTATTTTTCTGAAAAATCTATTGTATTTATATGCACGTGTAACAGACACTATCGCGTAATAAAGATTTCTCCGAAATATGTTAATTATTTTTAATACATGAATTATCACGTATTTGAAAATTAATAATTAGTGGATAAGGAATAATTAGTCTCATTGTCAGGTAAATTACTTATTTTAAAAATTATTAATTGGTTTAATATAAATAATTTAATTATTGCAGTTAAATATGATTTAAAGAACATTATGTTAATATTATATGTATGTATTGCGACGCTTTTTCCCCCGGTCTCGCTACCCGGAGGAGGGCAATCGTGGATTCACCGAAACGCAACGTTAGGTTGAGAGATGGCCAGGCAGCGCGGGCAGATGCCCGCAGATAACGGCCAGATATAATAAGGTACCGCGGGCAGATGCCCGCAAATAATCGCCAGATAATCGCAATGTGATGGGCGCCAGGTGCGACTATTTTCGCACCACCAAACAATATCTTTAATTAACACAACTTCTTACGCGATACCTCAAGGCGTAGTTTCCTTTCGAGGGGATTTGTAGAGGCGTGACGCAATTAACCACACATAAATAAAGAAAAGAGATATAATATATTTGAAAAGAAAAAAATGAGATATACATTTGAAAAGAAAAGAATATATATTTGAAATTAAGGAAAATATATCCCGAATCACACGAATAGCGCAGTTAGGATCAAAAAGTATATTGGATAGAAAACATACGCGACCATCCGTGCGGCGAACCGCCCTTCACGCAAACGCAGTCCCAACGCAATAACGCAAAGATCACGCGAACGCAACACGCTCTATGGACGAGTACTTACAGTTAACGCAAAATCGGCAACTGTTCACGCGACGCTACCCATACTCATACGCAATACCGACGAATCAACGAATAGCGCACATACAATACCGACGAATTAATTTTCACCGCCTTTACTTGCCTTCGACGTACTCGGGCCAACACGATTCCGTACAACGCATGAATGGTGGGCAATCTCGCCGTGTCGGCCTCGCCGGCCGGCGATCGCCCTCGCTAAACACCAAATAATCAGAACGTATCGCGCCGATTCCGCGGTCCGCCACGCTAATCCCGAGCTCTTCTCGCGAACCCGGTGGTTCCGCGTAAAGGGTCTCTAGTTCCGCGGCGCCTCGCCAATCCCGACGACTCTCCCGTCTCGTCCAACGCAAGATTTACTTCTTCGAAGGCCCGAGCACTCTACTCGACTACGAGACCGAGTGCCCTTCAAAGTACATGGCCACTCGTGCCTCGCAGTTTCTCCAAATTTACTGCGCGACCGCTTGAATCCGCAACACGAAAGGCGCGATCGCGACTCTACAGTTTACGATTATCACACGACATTTAACGATTACGCCACACGACTGTCGGCCGTGACGGTGTTTTCGGAAAGAGCCTAAAAGGTCTCTACTCACGCGAAGATTCGCTTTTGGTGGGGCCCCTGCGCTGCTTCCGATCCAGTTTCCTCGACACAAGAGAGCGCAAGGTAACAAAGGGCGCTCAGTCTGCCGTAATGCACAAGGTAACAAGCACCAAAATTTGGGTGTCGACATCAAAAGTTGAATGTCGACACCGAAACTTTGGGTGTCGACACTAAAATTCGAGTGTCGACACTCGGGTTTCAGTGTTGACACCCAATTATAAAACAAAAGATAAGAATTATAAAATGCAAGATTTAAACTAACTTATTATGAGGCCACATTATACATATATCTAACTTTGAATTTTATATATATATAAAATTCAAAGTTAGATATATGTATAATGTAGCAGATAATATTTTTTAAATGTTTTTTTAATATTTATGTTTTATCAATTATACATTGTACAATTCATTGTAAAAGAAATATTTTTTAAACATTTATTAAATATTTATTTTACATTAATTATTTGTTTAAACTAATAATTTAAACGCTCGACAACACACGGATGTGTTTTCGCT